ATAATCAAGCACCTCATGATATGTATTTATTATGTAAGCAAATCAATTTAAACAGTATAATCTGTTTTTTGTTAAGTAAACTTAATTAAAAATTAAAATCACAATATTTTATAAATTATAATAAGGTTACATCTTCATACCATATAATATTAGGTTAAATCTTTGGTACAATGATTTAAATTTTAACAAATTAATGTTAATCAATAAATCATCATGTAAACAGAAAATAAGTATTTAAAACAGATTTATTTAAAAAAAGCTAGAAACCGAACACTAACTGGTATTGGTTGATAACGGAAACGTGAACCAAAATTGAATATTTAAGTTGCTGACATACCGACTTAGTTGTATCACAAATGACCTGAAACTATTGTTTTTGAAGTACTGGACATGTTTGTTGTATTTCTTAGCTTTTACGATGGCGTTCGTCTGGAAGTTAACGTATTATGACGGATCGTTCTGCGGCCATATTGAACTTAAGTATAGGTGCTTCAATGACAATTTACCATTATGGTCGACTTTGACGTGTTCCGAAAAGTTGTTATCTATCCAAGTGAAAACTATAATAACACGTGCATAGTGCAAGTACTGCATCTACGCCATTTTTATTTTTATTTACATTAACATAATTTTTATAAAAAAGTTTTGAAATCAGACATATAGGTACATATGGTAGTTTTTGGCGTTATATCAATAATGTTGAAGAAAACGTCCTAAATGTAATAATTGAAATGTCTCATTGTTGTGTTTAACCTGGTACCCACCTATATTTTAATTTGTAGCCTTATTAATGCTTTATTTTATGATAAAGAAAAATAATAATAATACCAATAAAAAAATACTAAGTAATTGATTTATCAGTTTTTCTACATCTTCGTTCGCCTACATCGATTATTATGCTTATTAGTTATTATGCATTTTATTTTTTAAATACCATACATACACACATATACATGTATTATATATTATGACGTGTATTCAAATAATGTTTTTTTATGCTTGTTAAAAATATAATATTTTTGAAGAAACCGCTTAAATTTAAATTTTATTTCTTTTTCTGCCCATAACCCCAAGTGCCTTTATATACTCGTACACGCACACACGTACATTATTACACGCTGTTTAATAATATATTCACTCATAATTAGCCATATAGAAATACTTGATGAATACGTAATGTTTAATAATTACACTGTCAAAGTCTTTGCACCGTCGTTGGTCCTATGCATGTATAGGTATAGGTGTATTATATTGTGTAGCCGGTACGATATGCGATTGAAATGTGAGATATAAAATATATGATCACGAACGTGTGCGTATACCTATATATATAGTATATATATATATATACATATAGCTTATTATATTTTATTACATATTATATACGTATAATACGCACGTGTACTGGGTATACGGTGTGAGAAAATAATGTTATTGCTCGTTAAAAAAAAATGTTATTTTATTTATGAATTTTTTAAATGATTTTTCGCCCAAGGTGGTTACGTCACGCACATCATGCGTCTCCGAAATGTATTATAATACCGGGCAGGTATTACATATACCGGGTATAATAAAGTGTATCTAGGTATAACCGTCGTGCGGCAATGCCTATTTATGGATTCCGACGAGTCTATTAAAACGGCTCGGTGGTTGTGTTTCCACACGAATGTATAAATATTATTATAATATATAATATAATAGCACGTTGGTACTATTATAATACGACTCGAGCAACAGGGCGAAAAAAAATTACTCAATTAATGTGTACTCACATTATACACAATAACGTTAGACCCGCATGAATATAATAATAATCATAATATTATAATATATGTAGGTAGGTATTTACGTGTTAGATGTAATTATTAAGTGCGGACTATAGGGTGATTCATGAAGGAGCGGTAACAATCGTGCAACGTGTTTTGTAAATTAAAACCCATTACAGACACGGCGAGTGTGTTACGATAACTGAAATATGAAATACTATAATTTAAGGGGAACAATATAATATAAATCATAGGCGTGCTCAGACACGCCTTGTGATATTTCATGGGCCGAAGCGCCCTATGCCTCAATAATATTTGTCATAAATATACCTAAATTATCAAATTCAATTTATATAATATTTTTAAAGCAAGTTTGAAAAATATTGAATGGTTCACTATGAGCACTCTGTAGTTTAATATTATGTACCTACCTATAATCTATGCATTCTTCATAACGTTATTTTTGTTATTTCAAAAAATAAAGTTTGAATGTGTTGTATTTATGCAATTGTTGACTAAAGGGCTGATAATATACAGAGGGATTCACCAAGCATGCTCACCTCATTCTTCTTCAATAATGCAGTTATTCAAAATCTGATTTTTTAAATTTTTAAGTTTACTTTTAGACCATATTTTCAAGTTCTTGGCATTTTTTTTCATATTTAAGAAATGTCTTGTAGAGATACAAACTTCTGTTTTTAAAATGTTTTTTTAACTATGAATTATACAGTAGATAATTGCTCTGAAATTGTTGACGTATCAAAATTAAAATTCAGACTAGCAGTTTTTGAGTTATCTAACTTTGTGTTCTAAGGATAAATAAAGTCTATAGTGGCATAATAATGAGTTAATAAGATATCCCAATCGGAAATTTACAACAGGCGCAACACTGCGCCAGTACTGGCTATTATTTACTGGCACGCTACTGGCAGCCAGTGCTGGCACCAGTACTGTCATATGTCTGGGATGATAACGCTTTACCAGTACTGGCATTCGTACTGGCCGAGTACTGACATTCCAGTATTGGCTAAGCACCGATAGTATGTTTATAACATTCATTATGTGGAATGTAATTATATATGTAAATATGAAATAAATGTAGGTAGGTACTTACATTTGATTGTGCTTGCTGTACCAACACGTGACACGGCGATCACAGATTTGATCACAGTTAACTTATAACAATGTTTTATAACAAGTTAAATAAACACGCATTACATAAGGCCCGTTTCACATGGACGCGTATCGTACGCGCGCGTTTCATACGTCGCGTTCAGAATTACGTTATTTATATTGACCGTTTCACATGCACGCGTATGAAACGCGACGCGTTTTTGGAAACGCGGGCGAAACGCATCCCCGTACGCGGCGCGTATCAAACGCGAGCGTACCGGTTATTACATGTAATGACAGGTTTCAAATAGACGCGTATCATACGCGCGCTGATCAAATATTGAAAAATGGTTTTCATATAACTTGTTTATAGTCTCCAGCAGTGCAGTTCTTCTCTTTTTCTTTTTAGACTTTTAAGACTTTTAAGACTTTTTAGACCTTTTAATACAGTAAAAATAAATTGCTATTATATTCACTATGAATACAATGGACACTGAACTGATAATTATTGAGGTACAAAATCACCCTAATCTTTGGAACCACGCAGTCGAGGAATACAAAGATCGTGATTTGAAAATTAAAGCTTGGGAGGAGGTGACAAAAAAAATAGTGTTAGCATATGACACTATGTCTAAAGCTGATCAAAAAAAAAGCGGGTAAGTAAAACAAAAATTATTTAAGTATTTGTTCCATACTTAGTACAATATATTTAAGTATTTAAACATTTATTATACAAATTATTTAATTGAGTAAAAAACAATATGACACAATACCTATACACGCGTAATTATATCATACATTAACCCAAGTAAATTCATAAAACAAAATATCAAAGAAATGAACAGGAAGCTATTAAAAAAAAAATAGGTAAGTAATTAAATATATTTAAAAATAAACTTAAATGTAGGTATAGGTCTCATTAAAAAAAATTATTTATTATTGTACTCGTATACTTAGAACCTCAATGTGTTTATCTTTTTAACTGTTATACTATAATTCAAATTCTTTTTAATACTTCATCAGATTTTATTAAATACATTTATCTTGCCATTCTAATTTTCCAGCATCACTTATAAAATAATTGGCAAACTTGTCTCTTATTGTATTACCACTTCTAGTCACATTATTATTTCGTATATTAACCTCGTTTACATTTTCTAAACCTTCAATGCTAAGAGTGTTTTCAAAATTAAATCCATCTCTAACGCGTATAAAATTATGCAGGATACAGCATGCTTTTACTATACATACGGCCAACTCAACATTCACATTCATTGGCTTATGAAAAATACGAAACTTATTAGATAATATTCCAAAACTACATTCAATATTTCTCCTTGCACGCGATAAACGATAGTTAAAAATTTTTTTTTTATAGTTTAAATTATTTCGAGCATACGGCCGTAAAATGTTTTTTGATAACCCAAAAGCTTCATAAGCAACTATTACGAATGGATAACTTTCATCGTAGTTTCCAGGAAAAAGCATTGGGTCAGGAATATTTAAAGTGTTATTTTCAAGCTTCTGGTAAAATGCGCAGTTTTTAAACACACTTGAATCGCAGAATTTCCCTTGCGCTCCGACATCCACAAAAGTGAAACAATAATTCGCGACAAAAATGGCCATCAAAACAATTGAAAAATAATGTTTAAAGTTATAAAACAACGAGCCACTTTTTGTTGGTTTGATAACTCTTACATACTTTCCGTCAAGGGCACCAATACAATTTGGAAAATTTGCCAATTTGTGATAACCATTTGCAATTTCTTTCCATTTATCTTCCGTAGGTTCAGCCATGCATTCAGTTTTGAGCTGCCAAATATTTTTACATACATCTTCAATGATACCACTTATTGTTGAGATACCCATACGATATGTGTAATGAAGATCAGTCATTGTATTTCCTGTTGCTAAATACCTAATCAATAAATAGGTATTACAAAAATTAAACAAAGTACCCATACGTATTTAGAGTTGGTAATTTATACAAAGTCAATGAATAAAAATATAGTTATATAATAAAAATTACTCATATCATAATTCATGATTATTATAAAAAAAAATATAATAATATTTAGCTTTTTTGCTAATAAACTGAACGAAAAATTGAGAAGTGCATGTCAAATATACTGTAGCGAAAACAATATGGTATTTTTTTCTTATAAATTATAACTAAAAATTAATAAATAATACAGGCTTTAGTCACATTATTTTTTATGATTTTATATGGTCAGTGGCATTATTATTAATATTATCTAAATAATATTTTTAGAAGTAAATTCATCATTCATTTGTACTTTAATGGGGGAATTATATAATATATGAAATACTTTTTTTCAAACAGTGGAAAAAGTTCAACAACGCTGGAAAAGTGCGAGAGACGCTAAAATCAGATCCATTGCATTAAAAAAAAAATTAAAATCTGGATCTGGAAGAAAAAATGTTAAAACCTACATGTATGACCAGCAACTACAATTTTTGGAATCTTTAACTCAACCCAATATGTAAGTGAAAATAGAATTCCGAAAACAAACTACATTGTATATATAAAATATATTGATATAGATAGAAATGCCTATATATTTTTTAAACTTCTTGGCTATAAAATGAGATACTTATGAAGCATATTGTTTTGAATTTCCAATCCTTAGTTATAAAATTTGAATATTTTATAAATTTTCAAGATTTTTGACCCAGCAAATACAATTTTATTGATATTTATAGAAAAAAAAAAACAAAAAAAAATTGAAAACTAAAAATGTCTGTTAACAGCACAAACATGTTAAAATATTTTGAAAATGTTATAAAGTATATAAAATTATAATAAAAACATCCAGCCAATATTTCATATATCTACGGTCATTTGTTTTAATTAGAGTTACACCAAAAACCAAAATCGATTTTGTCAAAAACTGATTTTGCGTACATTTTCCCAATTTTCCTTAAAAATGTAATTACTTACTTTTTAGCTTGTAAAATGTACAGTTTTTATAGCTAAAAATTTAGCCTTATGGATTTAGTTGTTAGTATATTATGCAAAATTGAATTTAGTATACAAATACAATTTTCAGGACGGAATCTAACTTTAGCCCTAATCAAATTTCGGGAAATTCAGACAACGAAGAAATCAATTATGAATCGAACGGCGAAGATGACCCATTGGAAGACATTAATGTTACTTCCGATAGAGATCCTTGGGCGAGGAAGAGAAAAAGTACGTCAACACCAAAAAATCAAAAAAACAATTTTGAAGAAGATTTTCTCGCAGCGATTAGAGAGACTTCGATAGAAGATGAGGACAGATCTTTTTTTGAGTCTCTATTGCCAACTGTTCGTCAATTTAATACGGATCAAAAACTTCTTTTTCGTTCACGTATTCTAGCGTTAACAATGGAAATAAAAAATGGTCCCGGCCAGACTCCAAATTATCCTCCTATGTTTCAAAACTCTGTAAACCACAACGACCCTTTTTATTTTTCACATCAGCAGCAGTATTCACATTTTTTACCAATAAACTCGCAAATACAACAATCTTCTACGTCTATGCCCGATACCTCCTGCAACCTAACTTACCCATCAAATTCTTAATTATTTTTTTATAATTCACATAATATAATGTCTAAACAATTTAAAGATTATTTGTTTATTTTTATTGTTCATTTTGGGTTTACTTTAATTTTAATTTTATTTTCATTGGAAATGTTAGTTTTTATTTTATTTTAAATATTCTTTATCAAAAAAAGGACGTTTTGATTTAATTAATAAATACAATTTGTTTTGTTAATATAACACATAACTTTTATATTTTTATACTAAGTTACAAATATGTACATATTTCCATGTATAATAATAAATATTTTAATATTTTATTGCATTATGTAGGTACCTAAGCCGGCTAGACCTAAGACCTAACGTCATTATTTGTGTTAAGTTAGAATATGTTAATTAAAAAGAACTTGACATTATTTTATCAAAACTAAAATATAGGTAATTCAAATTTAAAACAAGCTTACCTCAATGTTACACACAATCGTTCTGCTGGAGTTATTGGTACTCTGATACAATATGAACGTTTTAAATTGTGTTCTAGTTTGTATAATAGTTCGTCAAAACTTTTGATTGACATCCGGAAATAATTGAAAAACTTATCTTCGTGCTCTCGGAGATCAGAAAACATCGTGGCAAATGCACCTTTTAAAGACCTTTGGGCTATCAAAGGGTGAACCCAAAGTCTTTTAGCACAATTTTTTTTAGCCATTTGTTTTTTTTTTAAATAATAATACCCCGTAAAAAGTATAAGCCGCTTTTCTCTTTGATTATTCATTTTTTATTTTAATTAACTTGTACTAAGTTGTATTAAGTGTTATTATAGGTGTTGTCTATACCGAAGTTAAACTTTAAATGACAAAATTTCCCCGGGGTCAGTTTGATCCGCGTTTCGCGTATGGTACGCATACATGTGAATACAACAGAGTGTCGCGTTTTGATACGCGTCGTATGCGCGTTTCATCAGCGCGCGTACGATACGCGTCCATGTGAAACGGGCCTAAGAATATGCAGTATGTACGCACTAAGACTAAACACGTTTCTGTTTCGATTTTCGAATGATGATAAGACAAAGGAAACAAATTCACAACACGATGGCACAGCGCAGTGGGAAAACCCATACCTATACTATATTATTATAGTTGTATTAACTATTTTAACTTGGTCATATCATTTTGACTATAATATTAAGGTTGTACCTATTAACTATGTTTATATGTTTATTAAAATAATTGTCGAGCTGTAATACTTATTGTGAAAGCTAATAAAAAAAAAAAAAAAAAAAAAAAAAAAAAAACTATTTTTATTTAGTCATATCATTTCGACTATATTTTACAGTTAAATCAACCAAAATATTTCAACTAATTATAGCTGGCTGATTTCGCTAAGTTATTTGGTAAAAATGTAGTATATTCAACTAAAATATGGTTGATACAACTATAATATTTCTACCTAAAACTTTTTAGTTAGTATTTTTTTCCGTGTAGACAATTAACTAACTGGTAAAGTTCAAAAGTTAAAAAAAATTACCTTTTTAACTAATTAATGCCAACCTTTGGTAAGATCATTATACTGCATAAAGTGCATATAAAAGCTATTATCCTTAATACAAACATTTTAATAACTAAGAAACTTCTCATTCGAATTTTAAATGTGTTACATCAAAATTTTCAAAAAAATTATCCACTAATTAATTTACGGTAAAAGAGTGGGGTTCTCGTTTTTTGTATTTTACACCACCAAGATTGACATAAATAAAATAACAACACTTAACTTCAATTTGTGGCCAAACTTCAAGTGCATTATGAATGGATTTTTCAAAATCAACAAAACACATTTTTGGTTCAAATATTTCTACGGACTTCAAACATTGGTTACGTAATTCGACAAAAGCTCGTTTATATGATACTTGACTTTTATCCTTTAGCAAAAAAAAAAATGCTAGGGTACATAATAATTATTTTTAAAACCATGAATTGTAAACAATTGGCAAAAATATTGAACACAATAATCAAAAGTACCATCCATGTACATTGTAGTTAGCGAACTTAAGAATTTGATATTTTCATCACACGAAAACATCACAAAGCCATTTAATGGGTCATTTACCATTAAAAAGTTTTCATCTATAAATGTTTTTAATCTCAGTGGACGATAAAATTGTACAGATTTTATTCTCGTGGCAATTTAGAATTTCTTGCATGATTCATATTTTTTTTAATGTAAGTTACGCCTGAGCGTGTAAATGTACTTACATTACAATTTTTCATCTCGTTAAGAAATAATTTTGCAGGTTGTTCAGATAGCTGTTCTAAAGCTTTTCTTTTTAAATTGTTCCTGAGAATTTGTCTATTGATTTTTTGCTCCGAGTCTTTCGCACAATCGTGAATAAGTTTATTATTTTAGAACTGGATTTCATTATTTTTATTAGTTTTTAAATAAGCTGAACATATTTTTTTTTGTACACGTCCATCGCTTAACGTCATTTGCTAAATTTTTGTGGAATCCAAACTTAAAACCATCACAAATTAAAATTGTTTTGCCTTTTTCACTAATAACGCTCATAATGTTCATTTTTATAAAACTGCATTACTGTTATTTACGAAACTGACTGTGTTGAACGGTGATGACGGACTAATCTTTAACTGATAATCAGTGATCGACAAGATTGTCGCATTTGACAAATTAATCTGTCTGGAAAATACTGTATGTCTTGAAATAATATTATAACATAAAGGAAATTGATATAATAATTGATAGTACCTATAGGTACGTAAAACTATAGATAATCTAAGTATGCATGGGAGTTACGAAAACTCCCGGAGGCAATTCGAGTGAAAAAAGATTACCTTCCTAAATTTGGGAGGCAATTCGAGTGTCGCCTTATTTTTTCAAAATGTTTGGATAAAAACCTGTACTTATTATACTAGCAAATTTTCATTTCTCTTATAAGATAAGTATATATTCTTATTTTTATTTTTTAATCCTTATTTCATTTAAGTATGTTGTAGGAGTATACCTACCGAAAACTTACCTTATATAGTTATGTCCAACTATATCCAACCTATCTAAATATTAAATAAAAAATGTTATCAATTAATAAAATATACTACTGACCAATTTAAGTTTTTGAAATACTTAGGTAGATACTTATAAATAATTCAAAATGTCTCATCCAAAACACAATACATATATTGTAAATAGGTACAATGTACATATTATAAGTGAATAGGTACTAAGTAGGTAGGTAAGTAGTCGGACTACCATTTCATTGTTATTACTTGTAACTTATACATTGTTTAAATGGTGCACACTCCATATAGTTAGGTAAATAAATAAAATAATATTAACAGATAAGACAGTTTTATTAATGAAAAAAACAATTTTAATTAGCAATTTAATTAAGTATACTTATATTTAAGTACCTATAATTAATAGTCATGGCTTAATGTTATAATAACTGCTTTACAAACACACTGTTGTAAAAAAAAGCATTTGCATTTAAAATCATTCAAAAAAACAACAGTAATATATGATGGATCAGCTGATAGAAAATTACAATCAACAACAATAGAACCAATATCTTTTGATGATAAGTTAAAATTAAACAAATTAAAAACTTCAGAAACATTTAACATTTTTTGGACTTTAAATTTTATTTTATTATCACCAAATTGTAATGTTTATTTTTTATTAAATCCAAATCACCATTTTTTAACTTGAAACATTTATTATTAACATAATTTATGTTTAATAAACAGCTTTCATTCAAATAAGCTATTTCACTAATATGTCATAAGAATAATTTTTGTTTAGTTTTTCTTTTTGCAATAGTGGATATTTTATTTGACTTGCTATAGAACTAGTGATTTCGTTGTATTTTTTAATAATATGGATAAAATAAATATAAAAATGCCACTATACCATGCTATATATGTCTATTTTTAAATAATAGCTGAATTAATTTGTTATTACTTATAATTATAAATATATAAATAGTTTTTAATCACATTACTGGGATGTTATTGTAATGTTATAGAGACTTGTTTCAAAGATGCTGAAATATTTCTATACGACGACGTTTCTGGGATGTTAATATATAAACTTAAAATATTTCTAAAACTAAACCGTTAAATATGATTTTATTGTTACTTTGAGGGGCGATGTTAGCATTACAAATCATGCATCGCTAAAATGTTCTGTAACCTAAAATGCATAATGGATATGCTGTAGGGTGGAAACACTACAGTATCGGACTTCTGGTGTAGGTATGCAGTATTGCGGTTCATACATTATTCTAACAAAAATGTAATTTGAAAATTTTCCCGATTTTGATGAATTTTGTCAACTTTTTAATTTTAAATACATTTGAAGAGTAATATTGTGCCTGTGTATAATAAATATTTTTGAAACAACTTACGAAGAATCTTGCAATACATTTTCAAAGTTTTTCATCGACAAAAATTTAAAACCATTTATACAATCAATTTAAAAATATCTAATGGCTTTAAATAGCTAAAAAAGAGTCGAAATATTTCAAAGATGTTACCATGTATGAAAAATCATAACAGGTATAATTATTTGGTGTAACAATAAATTAATAGAACGAGGGAGAGCGTCTATGATATAAAAGTACTTACTTCTTGTAACACTTGGCGCTATGCCCTTCACTGTGATGAGTGTCCAGATGACGTCTTAATCAGTTTTTTATTTTGTTCTTCTTTTGACAGTTTTCACAACTAAAACTTTTTCATCAGAACCTCCGGTGATAGCGGGATTAACCCCGTATAATATTGATAGTATGTACGTGGATACGGAATTAGGCGGTTTGGCATGTGCCTGAAGTGAATAGATGTTGATTGTTAACGCAATGCCTAGTTCTGGTTATGACTTGTGGTAATCTTAATAGTTGACCTTGGTAAGTGGACTACACCACATTAGTAAAATTGTATTAAATACAAATAAAATAAATAATTGTGATTATTTATTTCATAAGTCATTTAGAAAAAACATTAATGGTTTTTAAAAAGTATTAATTTGTGAATTTTTACCTAATTGTTAATTTTTTTTATGATTTCGTGGAACAATCTTAAATCTTAATACGTATAAATTATTAAATTAGCTAAT